AACAAATATTATTAAGGAGAGAGAACAATGAAATAACAGAAATTAAGAAGACAGAAGATAATGATTGAAATTGCATTTAAATTCTTGAAGATCAAAGTTGATTTGAATGAAAGAAGCCAGAAGAGAGTTTCATAAGTGAGAAGTGCAAGAAAAGAAACTGTTAGCATAGAACTTATGGTTACATCTCACCATTTCAACTGTAAAATGATGAGATCTTGCCGCCAATCAAGTACTACACTTAAATTCATAAAGGCTAGATACTATAGAGGAAAGTTCTTCAGAACAATTACCATGAAAATATTTATAGAAAAGCCACAGAGAAGCTATGTTACTGCAGTGGAAAGTTTGATTTAGATTTATTTGACTGCCCTGGACAAACTTGTGACAATGGTGCCAATATGGCAGGCAAATAGAAAGAAGTTCATTCAAGATTACTTGAGAGAAATGAAAAGGTTTTATTTGTTTTACGTAAAGCACATGTTTTGAATCTTGGGTTGTCAGTTACTGCACAGTCATCAGTGGATTCTGTTACATGCAAGGGAAGGCTGAAAAATTCATAAGCTGACTATGAAGGCTTGTTGCTAGAGCGATGAAATATTGCATTAATTTCAACTCTTCTTATTAATAACTACATTGTTTCACTACTAGTTCCTTTTGAAATCTTCTTTGAACAGCCAGATGTCAGTTTACTTAGAAACAATGCAGTTATGAATAAGAAGAGTTGATATTCATGCATGAAAGATTTCACAGCTGCAGCATCGCTCATTCATAGCTAATGAACTTTTCAGTCCATCCTTATAATAAGATATTTCTAATAAAAATAAATATTATAATCTAAAATTTACCTGGTATATTTATCATATAAATATTATATTCTTAACATGTTACAAGCAGGGAAGGTGATGGCCTCAAATTTTGGAATGCAAAATGCATTGTGTTTATTGGCTATCTTCAAAAGGGCCACACCATCAATAGAGAGTGCTATGTCAATTCACTGAGACAGTTTATGAAAGGCTATCAAGACCAAACACCCAGGAAAACTGACAAAAGTGATCTTGTTACATCAGGACAATGCTCCAGCATACTAGTCTTTGCTTTCAATGGCTGCTGTGTGTGACTGCCTTTGAACTGGTTGATCATTCTCCCTATTCTCCTGATTTGACTATCATCTGTTCCCCAACAAGAAAAAACACTTGGCTGGGAACCAGTATCACAGTGATGAAGACATCATATCTGCTGTTGAGTTTTTGACCAAAAAGAATGAACATTCTTCTTTGAACAGTCAGATGTCAATTTACCTGGAAATAAACAATGCAGTTATTAACAAGAAGAGTTGAAATTAATGCCTGTAAAATTTCAAAGCTCTAGCATCACCCCTTCATAGTTTGCTTATGAACCTTTCAGCTCGTCCTTGTACTTTGGTCTCATTAATCACTTATGTACATTATTTTCTGTGTTGACCTTTTATGGGAAGATGCAGTTAAAGAATGTGCCTATTTCTGTGAAAGCACAATATGATACAAGATAGGAATCATGAATCAACACTGTGAAGAAACCACTGTATTATTACCTTAGAAACATAAGGAAATTTCTTATCAAATCTTTGGAAAATCTTTGCTACAGCAACTGAATTAACATCACTGCTGGATTGGATTTGTACTTGGAACTTTGTGATTATCATTTGGTACCATGTTCTGTTTCACATGAACAAAGTGAGTCAATTGTTTCAGCTTTTGTATAAATCTCAATAACCATGTCGACTTTCAAATGCTTAAAGAACATTTTTCCCAGGACTTCTTTATATCTTTTATTGACGAAGGCTTGTCCTCAATGAATTCATTCAAAATTAAGAATATCTTTTGAACATGACGAAGAGTGTGAATATGGTTGAACAGTCCAAATGGTTTCCTGAAAAAATGAGCATCGAAAGATTGAACCTTGAGATCAAAACATTGCTTCAATTCTGCAATGAGAATGGCAAATCAGGAACAGAAAAAGTTGAGCTAAAGAATACCTATGATTTTTTTTGATTCCTTTTTTCAGAAACACTTAGTCAAACTTGAGCCTTGAATTATGACTGTTGTTTACTATGTTGAGGTTTACATGCTGTTTACAGGTGGTTATCTTTGGATAATGTCCTTAATCCTAATATATAATAATTTTTGGCCTATTAGAAATGAATGCAAAGGAAAGAAGGAGCATAAACCCTCTTTTGTTTTTTTGCTTCAGTTTGTTGTCATGACAATAGAACACTATTTTCCTTGAGACTATTTAATGTCAACCCAAGCATGGGGTGTGCTTGCACAAACACAAACATACACTTTACTAATTCCATAAATGTCTTTTCTTTTGTTGAATTTTCTGTACATGTGTAAATATAATTTTATCTGTCTCTCTCTCTATATATAAAATCTTCTCATATTGAATTTGTTTCTTTTGAAAGTTGTCAACCTCTCTCCATCTCAATTCCTAATTCAACCACGTCCATCAAAAGTAGCACCACTACACTACAAAGGTCATCAATACATTTCCTGACATTGAAGGTTGTCAAGTCAAATTCATTTATCTCACTGGCCATAATGTAGAAAGTTTTAGGAGGATGATAAGGAAGAAAAGCATACACAGCAATATTTTACACTATTTACATTGTTGTCCTCATTATTGTAATATTCATGATGTTTCAGCCATTGTACTCTCCAAACTTCTTCAGGTGATATATGTTGAAATTTTTAACTGAACTCTTTATTTAGTTGACAGGGTAGATTGTTCTAATTCCACATGCCATGCCATTTTTGGATATCTCAGTTCAGTTAATTCCCTTTAGTAATTCAACTCTCAAAGTTTTTGTTCACCTCTGCTGTGGCCAGGTATTGAACTCACAACTCTTTGGGTCAAGTTAATTTTTTTGGATTACTCAATCAATGCTTTTATCCATTGGGCCATTGAGTGAATTTCTCCAATTTATAAACCTAATGTCTCAGTTTTCTGTTTTTACCAGAGTTCATATTATAATTTCTGTTATTGTTGTTTTTCTCTAGCACTCTGTATTAGTGGTTCCCATATTGTATTCATGTCTATGATTAGCCAGCTTTGGAGATTTTTGTGGCCTAGCATATGCACTGATTCCTTAAGTTTTTTTATTTTCCAGTGATGTTTTCTGTCTATTATTTCAACTTCATCCTACAGAGAGAAGTGATCTTCCTTTCTCTCCATATATTGTCAGCCATACCTGAGTTTTCTATTTCCCCTCATGTTATGGCTTTATGGTGTTCTTGCAAATCTTATCTTAAAGGGGCAACCTGTTTCTCCTTTATCTTTTTTGCCACAGCTGCATGTGATAGTTTACACACAGTACTTAATTATGTTCTCCTCTATGGGTGGTCTTACTTAAAAGAGGTGACTGTGTAGTGTTGAACCACTCCTGAAGTTTGTCCTGATGTTATATGGACCACAGATCTTTTCTGATAAGCCCTTCACATAGGGTAAGCAAACTTAGGCTGTTTTCTGAGTGTTGTTATCATCTTGTACACTTCTATCCCAGTTTGTGGCGGCTACTGTCATATACCTAGAGTAGTTGCTATGTTGTAGGGTACTGCTTATACTGACAATTTCTTGTTCATACGTCTCTGGGTCAACATTTATGATTTTGTTCAATGTTGTATTCAATGGACGATCCCTTTCTTTACACTGTATGGGTAGTGGGAGTCGAAGTTGAGGTATTGTTCTGTTCAAAATATTATTACATCCAGGAATGCTAGTTTGTTGTTGTTTTCTTTCTCCATTGTGAACTGTATTGGTGTTTTTGTGTTCACATAGCCTACTAGTAGCTGGACCTATTCCTAGTGAGGCCAGTGTATGAAGCTGTCATCTATATATCTCTGCCATGGTTTTAATGATATTGATTCTAATGCCATTTTCTCAAAGTATTCCATATATATGTTAGCCATTGCTGGTGATAATGGTGAGCCCATTTCTAAGCCTTCATCTTGTCAATATATGTCTTCTCCCATTCCAAAGTACAAACAATCATGTGTAGAACTTGTGTACAAAAAGTCAGCATCTTCATCAGGTTATCTATGGTATACTGGTATATTCTCCAAGAGATGAGTCCTAGGCCAGTCTGTCCCTGACTACTGATAGTACCTCCTCCATGGGTCCCTGGATGAACAAACTCACTATGTCCAGGCTCACCATTTGGTTGGATTGGATGGAAGCATTTTTTAAAAGTGGATAAAGTTTCAGACATATGATAGTGACTTTCCTATGGGTCAACAATATCCACAAGGAAGCACCTCAGGGGGTGGCACACAGAGCTTATGCTGCTAAATAAACTAAATAAAGAGTTTGGTTTGAAATTCCATTTGTATATCACCTGAAGAAGGTTGCAGTGTACAATGGCCAAAATGTTGTGAATATGGCAATAAAGATGAGGACAACAGTCCAAACGATGTAAATAGTTACAAAACCTCATCTCAGAAATATAGACTGATAGTAATATTTTAGTTTTTATTTTGCTCCACTGGTAATGTTTTTTATTTTACCCAACTTAGAAATAATTCATGATATTATTTCTGATATAATATTATACTAGTGATGACTATTGTACATAATTAGGTTTCAATAACATTTGAATTTTATTGGAAATGTTCTTTATAAAAATTTAGTGAGGGTGCCGGCACTAATTAATTGAAATGGTTAAAAACTTCAAACTTATGAAATGTTTGGGTAACTGAAATTAATTGGTAAGGGGGATCAGTGAAAACAAAATAAAAGTGAAAAGCAAGTTATCGCCCCTTTGTGCTAAAGTCCAAACACGTGATAATCATGATAAGAGTACGATATTTATAACGGGATGTTATGTAGTATATAAAAATTGCCGGATTTTCATTATCAAGTCTTGAAATAATTGCAACATGTTTAATGCTACAAGATTTTGTTGTATTCTGGCGGCATTGCTAATTTTATATTCTCTCGTCGTATGTGAAGCTTTTATTCCTCGAATGATTCATGGTCGACCGAAAGGTGGTATGGTGAGGGGTCCCATAAAGAAAAATGTTTTTAACAATCATACTTCAGAAGATTTATGGTTTATTCAAAAACTCGACCATTTCACACCTTCCGATACACGTACTTGGAAACAGGTGATATTTTTATTTATTTATTTTTTATCATTTTTACTTCATAAAAATCGAAAAACTTGCAGCTGGAAGGAAAAAAAAATAGTAAAATTAAAAACAAATTTATAACTTTTTCTAAACTTCCAAATTTTGGTTGCTAAATTTTCGATAACTTTTTTAAATTCTTATTTTAGCTTTTTTTTTTTTTTTTTTTAAGTAAAATTGCAATCTGCTGATTTGTATAATAGAACAAAAAATATTGACTATCAGGACCGATTCTGGCTATCGTTAATTTTTAATGAAAACATTTCAAATCCAAAGGAGTATTATTCGGAATACGAGTCTCATTCAAGAAACTATTGATGAAATAAGGGAGATAAATCAGTATTTTCGTATAAAAATCATTTGAAATGCTAAACTGAACTATATTTGGAGTGCATTATCGAGGAAAATGTTCCAAAAGTCAAAATAAGAATATTTTTCCTACAAGGTAGCAAATCTCATAGAAAACAGACGGGATTTTTTCCCACGGGTAATAATAAATAAAATAGGGGATACGAGTGAAATGCAAAGTTTTCGGATTTATCCAGCTCCCCAAAAATAAAATGTAACCAAACATCAGAATTTGAGTGAGAAGGACTTGGCAACATTTCAACAATAAGGTGTGTTTATTAGTGTTATTCAATTGTATCACAAAAAAGGTTACCTTTTTCAAATGCGATTTTATACAGTTACACGTACTTACTAACTTATCTCTCTCTCTCTCATATATATATATATATATATATATATATATAAGAAATCAAGGTATCGCTGATTAAACGTCCAAAACTATTTCCTCCGTCAAAATGCTGAATTACCTCCCTTAGATATCACTACTTATCTCTCACTAATCACACTTTTTTCCACTTCAAAAAAATAAATAAATATAATTCAACATTTTGTGATCAATATTACTTAGAATTTGTATTTTTTAAAACTAAAATAACTGAAATAAAGATCATAATTGTATTCTTTGGATTTTAGAAATCTTGCATCAGAAATAAAACTATTCTTTATTGAATTCCAAGTACATGTCATGCATGTGTTTTTATCACTTTTTGTTTTTGCCAAGTTTTCAATATACTCGCAAGACATCTTCATAACTTCATGTTTATTCCACATGACACAACTTTCACATGACAACTGATTTATGAATTTTCCTGTTGCAATTACAATATTTTCTTTCACATGAATCGTCAGCTAAGATTAAGCATGATATCATGACAGTGTTAAAAAAAAAACAAAAATCAAAATTGGATTTTTAACACAACTTTTAAAGCATTAATCAGTGAATTTTCTAATTTCTCTCATTTGTTTATTTATTCTTAGCCCATTTGGAATGTTTAAAATTCCAGTGAATTAAGAACTCACTGATTATTTTTTTTCATTACATTACTCACATTATTACTTCTGACTGGTACAAGGTTACAAATATTGAGCATCCAATGAAAATCAAACTCACTACACAATGGTAATGGTTTGATAGACTCACATGCTTGCCCTTAATACCCCATAAAAACATGTACATATTTTCTAAGTTTAGTCTGGCACAAGGCTATGAGTGATCACAACTAGTGAGAATCAGCCTCATAACAGGAGTAATAAAGACTAGTTTGAATTTGTGGTGGTTGTGAATATAAACTTTAAAAATCTATAAATTATGATTTGATACAACATGCAAATTATACAGATTCAAATTCTAGCAAACCCATTTATTAGAACATATTCTATTAATTAGTTTCAGACAAAATAAAAACCTCTCTTTAATGAAAATTATTAAGATACAATATCCCAACTGAGTGGATATCAACTTAAAAAAATATTTAATTAACTTATTTACAAAAAAGGAGAAAATTTACAGTGTTTAAAACTTGAAATTATTAAAGTTTCAGCTTTTAAGCATGTATAGTTATTAAGTTATTGGAAAATTTATACCCTTAAAGTAACACACTTTCAAAGTGAGCTGAGCATTTTTCAGTTAAGTATGTCTACTAGCTTTTCATGCAAGGCATAAATGAAAGGACAATGTATAAAGTAGTTGGAGTAAAAGTCTGAGTAGAAGTAGGAAAAGGAGTCAGTAAGAAATCTTCTAGTGTCTAGTTTGTTACTAGATTACAGTAAAAATGACATGAGAGTGTATGGTAGATCAAATTTTGAACTATGAAAGTTGGGGTTGTGTTATGGAGTGGTTTCATAGTGAAGGCTTGTATTTGTACTAAGTCGATCCTAAAATAGGTTCGACGTACAAAATGTTAGGAACTTGATATAATAGGTAATGACGCAGAGTAATCTAGTTGCAGTCGCTGATACTTTAGTATTTGACTAACAGTTGTCTGGCATCGACTGACTGACCCCCCACTGAGCGACTCCTCGTTACTCTTACTACTCCTACTTATTATAGGTGGGAGAGTCTATTAACTATAGAATAGGTGTGTTCCACTATAACAGGTTGCACATGATAAATAACAATACAAAATATTTTTTCCAAATCATTACCGTTTATTGAGGAGACAAATTTAAAGATTACATTTAGGTTCAAAACTGTAGCATTGGAATTTCATTCCAGTGATCAATGAAATCTTTATAGCACAGCCTTATAAAATTTACAATTTACTGAAGCTTTGCAAGTTTTATATAGACAAGATGCATGGCACAATCACATTATTACTAAATCATTGTGCCATCAAATATGACCTTCATTTACTTTAAAGGAAAATTATACTGGACAATTTAGCTATATTATGAAGTGCAGTAGTTTTAGTAATTTTCAGTAAACAATGCAAATTTAAAACATTTTCTCTTATAATTTGTGCCCATCAGTATTTTGATGTTATATACACGTTTATTTATTTTTTGTTTTTATTAACTATCTAACAAATCTTATTCATTGAGTAGCGTTTTTTTGTAATCTTTTGCATTGCATATTTTGCTTGGACTGATACATAATCAGAATTCTGGTTTGAATATATTTTCCATTGAATGTATCTAAATACAAAAATATCAACTTTATTTGGATTTCTTCTTGAAATAGTAAAATTTGAAGTCAGTTTCTAAGTAAAAACCTGCAGAAATTAAGTATTTAGATACATTTTTTTCAGGTAATATTTAAAACTCAAAAATTGGTGAAAGTTATGAATGTAATTTTTGATACCAGTGCTTATCACATCAAACTCCAGCTTTAACCTGTCGGAGTTAACTCCTCCTTCACTCCGTTAACCCTTTCACCAGGGGTCTCTCTTCCCTGGCTATAAATAGCCGCTGACTCTTCACCTCTATCTCTTTTTCCTTCAAGCCTGTGCACTGACACCTTGAGGTAAACTCTCTTATTCCTAGAGAATTTTCAGCTATCAACCTCGAAATGTAGTCGCTAACAAGGGATAGCGTGGAAACACGCTATGCACAATATTCACGCACGCACATACAGAATATTCACACACACTTTGTCCTTTGTACTGTTTCCATGTATTGTAACTTGTTATTAATATATATTTGTATATACATATATTATCGGTCTTGTTTTGTTTGCTTTCTTTACCTTCTTCTTTGGACTTAATCAAAGTCCAACCTTTTTATGTAGTTGGGCTCGGCGGGCAGGAGTATCTGAACCTTGCATTTCTTCTACTTGATTATTTCTCTTGTTGTTGTCTTTGTTACATTTGATATTGTAAAAATTGTAGAGGGTCAGTTTTTATTTCTATTTATAACCAATACAAATAGGCTGACCCACTATAAACCCTTAGTGCAATGTTGATTTTTCAAAAATCAAGTAAAAAATTGACCTGCCCTAATGAAAGAGTAGTTTTGATAAATATGACTCTATAACGAGGTGTTCTTTAGGGAAAAATAAGTTAGAAAGTGTTGTTTTTTTTTTTTTATAAACCAAAATGAAATCATGAAATTGAAAACTAGCAATGAAAAGATAAATGGCAAGTCCAGTGTGAACTTTAAAAACTATTGATTCTATTTTTTTTTCTCCCAACCTTTCATAAAATTCTTCTTACTCATGCTTTCTCTGCCCAAATTTCTTAAGTATAATAAAATCAAATAGAAACCTAAGGTCAAACGTCATTCTATTGAATTACAAAGTTTAAAACCTACAAAATCTGAAACTCATTGTGATAAAAATTAGTTTCATGTTAGCATTTAAGTTGAAGTTGGATTTTAAATTTTTGTTTCAGCAATGATTGTGCAATTTCATAAATATTAAAAATTCTTATCAATTTCCTGACATTCATAGCAATAATTAATTTATAGATTAAAAGAAATCAGTAATATTAAATGTCACTGCAAATAAAATTTTTTCAAAACTTTATTTTTATTTTTTTGTTTGTATGGTAGAGATGTACAATAGGCACTGTAGCTAGAAATTATATATTTTCAAAATTCTTCAAATCATGAATATAAAAAAAAAGGTAAATTTGATAAAATTTAATGGGGGGGGGCAGTTTGCTATGTAAATTCATTGCAAATTGATGTTCCTCTGGAAGCCAAAACAAAATATGTGACTTCTTAAAATGTAAAAACAAAACAAAAATAAAACAGTTTTTGAAATCATAATCTTTTTTTCAGATATTACAATTGAATAAATGCTCCAGATTATGATATTTTTAAAAAAATTATGTTTTTTTTTCCTCAGACATCAAACAATATGAACATATTTATTTTTGGCCTTCCATGGTGAGGGTAGGGGGAGGTCAATTTACAATGAATTGATATAGCAAACTGGACCCCCCCACCATTAACCTTTCTAAAATTTAATGCAATTTTTTTTTTATATTCATGACCTGAAGTGCTTAATCTATATTAATATGAAAGAAAATTTTAAAAAATGTTTATTTTTGGTTGCATTGCCTATTGTATAAAATTATGGGATATTCTAAAAGCAAACTTTTTTTTTAATGATTTTATATATATATATATATATATATATATATATATATATATATATTTGTGCACATGAATCAGGGATGCTGGTAATTTTT